GTCAAAGACTTTATTAAAGCTATTGCACTCATCGAGATTCCATCAGAGGAAATACCTGTGGAAATTCAGCTCATTGAAGGAAAAAGCACCTAACTGGCTAGTTTAGCAACAGGAAGACATTTCCAGTGATTTTGGGCTTTTTCTTTTATCGGACTACAAAGTGTCAACCAGAACCTATCAGAATATGGCAAAACCTAATTTATTAAACTATGTAAACGGAAAATAAAACGCAAATGGAAGTCCCCTGTGCCCAGGGTGTTTTCTGATGGCTCCCACAATTGCCATCCAATGTCAGACAAATACTACATTCTTTTTCTTATTGAAAATATTTTTCCCATTACTTTGTAGCGTGTGGAGTTCCGGTTTCAATCCGCATCATCAAACATTTCTATCTTCTGTCAAAGGGGTTATCTCATCTAGAATTCTTCCTTCAATATTCCTTCCTCTCCTCAGAATGAAAAGGAAGAAGAGAAAAGAAGAAGGGAGGATGAGGGAAAGGGGGTATGGTTTTACAGGATTTTCTGTAGACCATTTTCCAGCTGAGGGAACTTGGGTACAGAGAGGTTCAGCAATGTGGCCAAGATCATACAGCTAGCTGGGTTAGATCCTTTAGGTTCTCCCATAACCTCTGACCATGACTGTGTCTTGGAAGTCATTACATCTACATATATATATCCCTACTATGCAAATAGACTAAATGGTGGAACATCCGAACAACTGGTCACTAAGACATGTGCCAACTACCAGGGGGCACGCGTGGAACATAATGGGCGTTGGCAGCAGAACACGGAACATGGCAGGTGTCAGCCACAGCGGGATGTTGGAGCAGGCGAGCGGGGGCGCCAGACCAAGGTGGGGTGCCAGTCACTGTCATCGGGGCAAGCCTCTGGTGGTTATTGAAAGTTCTTTGCTCCAATGCACCGCGGTCCTGCCAGGCACTTGCACCTGATGCCAGCGTCGGCCCCGCTCACACCCGTTGCCAGCGCCCAGCGCCGGCCCCGAATGCTCAGCGCCATCAGCAGGTTCGAGCAGTGGATGCAGCCCAGATCGATCCTGAGGGCTTCTCCACCTCCCCCTGCTCCTGAGGGGCAAACGGGGCCGGCACCATCAGCACGTGGGAGCGGCAGTGGCAGGAGCAGGGCTGGCCAGCAGAAAAGGGACCCGGGCCACGACAGGAGGGGCCGGGCAGGGGCGCAGAGGATGGGCCAAGACCCACCCCTGTTTCCACCGCAGCCTCGCAGCCCACAGTTCCTTTCAAGCTGCATGAATTCATGCACTGGGCCCCTAGTTGTTTCATAAACGTCTATAGATAAGTCTCTCTTCTCCACTAAACTATAAGTACCTTCAAGGTGAGAACTTTATCTTAATTATTACTTATCCTGGTTTTCACTCTGTACTTGCTGATTAGATAGATGTTGGTTGGTTGGATGGATGGATGAATGGATGGCCAAAAAAATGAATACAAAACCAGTGAGAGAAGTCGGTTGAAGTCTGTAAGGGCAGAAGTATTTTTCATTGAAGGTTGCACCTTGGGTTCACATGGGCTCCATTTAAGAGATCCCTGGAATTTCATTCTTTTAAAAGACACTTGTGAATCTCGCCATAAAACAAACAGCTCTAACATTTTTTCAAGCAAATTAAAATGATAATTCTCAGATAAGAGCATAAACATTTTTGGTTTTTTGCAGTTCAGGAAGAGAGGTATATTTTGCTCCAAACGAACTCAAGAAGTTAAAATTTAATTTGTTTGCTAAGGAAGATTTGCCAAAACGAATTACCTCTTAATGGAAACAAGCTACTAGGGCACTGTTCTCTCCTCGAGCAACGGTTCGGTGCAACCTACTGTAAAATTAAGCAGAGAGAAAAGGGCAGCGCTCAGGGGAGTTTAACACATTCCTTCTCACAGTAAAATTGGACCAATGTGGTAAGCAATTTACCTTTCTGCTATCAACCCAATAAAAGCTAGAGTCACCAGGCCATAGTGTTTTTTAAGAAAATCCCTGTCAGGTACAATGCAGATTTGATCATCCTCTTGTTCCTTATTTAAGGGGGACAGTAAATTCTCATTTGTACTATGACTACGCTTTTGAAGACTTCTTTATCCACTAAGAATCCTATAAGAATAAACCCGATAAGATAATAAATGCTTCACTTGACAGTAGGATGGTTTAATGTTCCAACAGTTATTACTTGGCACTCTGAACTCTTAATGCTAAATTAAGATGAAAATCCTTCAAAGAACACAATGCTGAAGAATCCAATAAATGAGTTACATTTATAACAAAAGGTTCATGGTCACTTTTATAGTACTAGAAGTCGATTTGCCCATAACAATAAAGGAATTCCACTCTTAATATACACTTACAATCATGCATTTTGCCTAAAACCCCTGCCCCTAAGTCACTGGGGGAAATGTCATAGGTTACCACTGTACACACTTCCCAAAATTTGGGTGGGTGATACTCTTTTCAAGGTTAGGCCTAACTTTGGGTTAAGAGAAACAATTAAACATAGAACATTCATAAAAATTGACCACAAATAATAATAAAAATTAGAAACATAACAAAAATATGATCCGATCACAATGCAATAAAAACTACAAATTAAAAAGCAAGGGACCATTTCCATCTATCAGAACGGCAATGATGGACGCTAGAGACACTAATCTAATAAAGGTTGGGCACCAACGGGCACCTTCCTACACGGCTGGTGGGGAGAACTAACCTCCTAGACTGAGGCAATTCACCACCTTTCAAAATTACAGAAGCTCGGACTAGCGGTTCCCAAACTTGCTTTCATATTGTATCACCTGGGGAACTTCAACATACCGGGTGCCTGTGTCCAGCCCTAGAGGTTGGATTTAATTGGCCTGGGCTGGGCCCTGAGTCTTACACTTTTCAGAAGATCCCCAGAAGATAACTAATGTGCAGACAAGTCTGGGGATTGTGGGCTTATACACCCTTTGTTGAAGCAAATCCAGTTCTTATTATTCATGAGACACATACATGTTCACACGTGGTGAATGACCTATGGCATTACTCACAGCTTTGTTTTGTAATACCAAAAGATGAGGAACACATAAATGGAACACAAAGGAGGCTCGCTAAATAAATACTGGATATTCATAAAGTGCAGTACGAAGTATCTCTTAGAAAGAGGTGCAGAAGTGTATGAATTACATCTCACTAAAGCCGTTACGTATGTCTGAAGAGGTGCAGATGGTGTAGGCAGCATGCTCATATCTACGGGAGAATTAACACACACGGTGGTAAGAGTGGCCATCTCTCGAGGTGAAAGTTTGCTTTTCTCTGCATACCCTTTCAAATACTGACATTTATACTGTGTTATGTATTAACTCTTTAAAAATGTATTTTAAAAATTAACATGACATCGAAAATCGACCAGGTCATATCACTATCCAGCCAAACGGAATGTATAAGCCAGCATCCCAAGGGGCATGAGGGAACATTCTGGGATGATGGAAATACTCATCTCTAGAGTGGTGGCGGCTGCACAGCCGTATGTGGCTGTGGAAACAGACCTGTATTCCTAAAATGAGTGACTTTCACTCTGTGTAAACTAGACCTTGAAAACCTGACTTTAAAATAAACACTTTTTTAAAGACAACCGGACCTCTTCGCACAATGCTGTGAGGACTATAAATAAACCAGTTTGGAAAACTGCTCTGCTCTTGACCTCTGGAGCCGCACTCAAAACTGAGCCGGGACCACTCCCACCTTAACAACCAGCGTCGGGAGAAAAGGCCCCGGGACAGAACGGGGAATCCAGAAAGAGACCTGCCGCGGCGAAGGTGGCCTTCAGTGGAGGTCGGGGAGTAATTGATTTCAGTTAACAAAATTCTTCGGGTATCTTTGTACTCAAAATTTACCTTGCCCTTTCAAACTGCTCCATGGAATTGTGTACTCTGGCTATAATATTAATTGAACATTTTTCTCATTTAAAAAATTAATTGCCCAGGTGGAAATCTGTGTGCCACGCGGCACAGGGGTAATGAACAGGGTACTGTTGTGTGCTGCCCTTCGGAAATGAATGGGGCTGCTCACAGCAGAAGCAAATGGCCTGAGGGCTGCCTCGGCCCAGCACTGCAGACGGCCCAAGGGCCAGAGCACCTGGGAGCCCTGTGAGTCCATTAGGCTGCGCCCGGTGCATTGGCACAGCCACGGGGAAGGCTATTTGGGTCAGACTTCCCCCAGGGTAGATTCTCTCTACAAACAGCCTTTCTTGTTCACAGGTGACAACAGTGATGGGGTGCACTACTGTGCGGGACTCTCTGTGGTAGGAGAGCAGACCAGGTGAAACCCAGCTGACTGGGACTGTGACCAAGTGCCTTGGCTGCTGAAGACCGACTGGCCACTCTGCCGGTCACCGCGCCTACAGGTGGCCTAAACCCAGCAGCCCTCCTGGGTCACCGTCGCAACTACAGCTACTTCTCTTGCTTGAAAGCAAGTAGACCTCCCCTTCTCTTCTCCTCTGTGGACCGGGTGCCCCCTAACAAACTTCTCAGGAGCCTGAAAGCTGTTGCCATCACCCTAGAAACTAGTTCCAGAAACGTGGCATCATTACACGCAGGGCCTTCCATAAAGGCAAAAGCTCCCCATTACTTACCACAAGCGTGTCAACTACATACAATGGTGGGAAGTAATAGTCTGCAAATACCGCAGCGATGTAATAACCTGTTCAATGCAATATGAGGCAACCACTGACATTTTAAAGAGGACATGTGCCAGTTTTTTCTCTTTAAAGAATTTATCATTTTAAAGCATCAAAAATGCCACAGGATGCCAACCCCGATAGGGAATAAAGAGATGACAAGACCCCAAACAGCCTAAGTGACAGACATTACAAACCATAAAACGTGAAAAATGACCACTCTGGCAACTCAAATGTTGGACTTGCAGAATCTCATCATCTTTAACATTTGCAGAACATGTAAGTGCATCTCGGAGATGCGAAGCGAGAGGAAGACCTGGGGCCTGTACCTGGTGAAGGCGGGGCTGTGCGCGGTCATCGCCACCAGCAGCTTCATGGCATAGGCCGGGACCGGGCCAGGCTCCGTGAGGACGTGCTCGTACCTGGAATGACAGGTGATGGGAGAAGTGCTCAGTGATTTTCCTCCCTGAAACCCTCCTCTCCAAGACAGAAACCAGAGGCTGTAAGGTGCACACACCTGACAAAGCACAGATGCTGAAACAGGTATGAGCTACAGGGTCTGCGCTGGCCAGGGGACGATGACACTGCCCACCTCCCAGTGTTGTGTGAAGTTCAATGAGACAATCCACTTAGGGCCGTTAGGATTGAGCTGTCCACAGAGCAGGAAACTTTAGCATTAGGGATCTGTGCCAGGGGTCCCCAGGGCGACCTGCACACTCAGAGATATGCTATGGGACTCACAAGACGCCCATACGGTCAGATTCATGACGAAGATTTAGCACATGAGCCCCTTACCCAAGGCGGGTATGTTCCAAGACCCCCTGAGGAAGCCTGAAGCGGCAAACACTGCTGAACCCTATATATACTATGGTTGTTTCCTATACATACATATATACAGTCTATGGCTTCTCTCTGGCATATCCAAACTGCCAGCATCACTACTCACATTCTTTGGGGCCATCATTAAGACAAGGGTGGCGTGAACATAGGCACCGCGATACAGCGACAGTCCATCTGCTAACCCAATGGTCACTAAGTGACTGACGGACAGGTAGCGTGTAGAGAGTGGATGCGCTGGACAAAGGGAGATTCGCCCATGTTATTCGCTGGGTGGAGGCTGGTTCACATGCGGTGTCGACCTAGTTCAGCTGCCCCGTGTACAGCTCCATGCAGATGCTTAAGTGCTGGATGGACGGATGGAAGGACGGACGGACGGACGGACGGATGGATGGCCAGACAGACGGACAGATGAACGAACAAACAGATGAACAAACTAACTAACCAATCAACTATGACTTAACTATCTGGAACCACCAACAACTAGAGGCAGCTAACTATCTCCAGAAAATCCAAAATGTATCTTTAAAAACCCATGACATGAAGCAGATGCTGCTCATGGAGAGAATGGGCCCCCAGCTTATTCACAGCCTGTTCACGCTCGTGTTGAAAACTGTTATATAACAAGCCTAGTTAAGCAGCCCCCAAGCCCAAAGCCATTACAAAGGAGCCGAGTAACGGGAGGAGAGGGACCGGTACAGAAAGGCAGCCTGAGAGTTACACCAGGACTGGGAAGCCCAGGAAAAACCCGAGGGCAAACCCGGACTCCAAACAGCGAACGGCATCGGGCGCAGAGGAAACCGCTGCCGGTACCTCCAGGGGCTCAGGGGCACAGCACACGCCACGATGTTCAAACTGGGGCAGTGGATCAAGAAAGTGTTCATGCCGAAACCGGTTTGGCTCAGTGAATAGAGCGTCGGCCTGCGGACTGAAAGGTCCCAGGTTCGATTCCGGTCAAGGGCATGTACCTGGGTTGCGGGCACATCCCCAGTAGGAGATGTGCAGGAGGCAGCTGATCGATGTTTCTCTCTCATCGATGTTTCTAACTCTCTATCTCTCTTCCTTCCTCTCTGTAAAAAATCAATAAAATATATATATATATAAAAAAAAAGAAAGTGTTCAGCTGGGGAGGGCTCTGCTGAGGGGGGCGGGAAGAACCATGTTTTAGAAAGCCTTCTTATAAAGTATTTTTAAATTATGGCAATGAAAAGCTATGCCCATGTAGGACAGATAAAAGACAAAACACCAGATCATTCGTAACAAAGTCATAAACAAAATATTAAGAAACCAAAGGAGATCCGTGTGTTTAAATAAACAGCACAACCAAGCATGATTAATTTTAGAAATGAAAACAGTCAAATTTAGAAAAACAATACATTTATTCACATGAATAAAACAAAAATCAAAGAAACTTTTTTAGAAGTGATAAAAATGAACTTGACACCTGAATTGAACTTTTTTTAAAAAAAGGAACAACTCAGCATACTAGAGAGAAATCATTTTTCCTTTCTGGAATAGACTTACAAAATACAAAGCCCTGCCTGGCCAGTGTGGCTCAGTGGTTGAGGTGTCAACCTATGAACCAGGTTATGGTTCGATTCCCGGTCAGGGCACATGCCTGGGTTGTGGGGCTTGATCCCCAGTGTGGGGTTGTGTAGAAGAAACCAAGGTACATGCCCTTGACCGGAATAGAACCTGGGACCCTTGAGTCCGCAGGCTAACGCTCTATCCACTGAGCCAAACCGGTTAGGGCAATAAAAATATATTTTTTAAAAAAGAAAAAACACTGAGGAAACATTACTGACTGAAATACAAATGTGTTGAGGTTGTGTGAGGTTACCTAACCTTGAAACAGGAGGAAAGATGGAAGTCTATACCAGCCTGTACATGAGAATTTTTGCAAAAAAATATTGCTATGATTTTCTCCCCTTGGAAAATGAGGGGTAAAATTCACATTTGTTCAGAATAAAAATATTGAGTATTTTGAATGTATTTTAATCAAAGAGAGGTTTGCAGCAAGAACTAGCCAAAACGATGCTGTGATTTATTAAGTTTGTCTTCCAGAGAAAGATAAAGCAGCTGAGCTGATAATAATTGGACCTCGCACTCTTCTGAATGCCACTTGGCAGGAAAATAACAGACACAAAACAATGATAAGCCAGGGCTCCGAAAGGGCTTCGCAGGAGGGTGACCAGTGAGAAGCTGCCCACCTGACAGACAGGCACTGGAGAGGAGGACTCCAAGGGCATGGGCCCGGCCAGAGTGAGACCACCGTCCGCATCGGAGCACACTGCCCACACAGTGCCCAGACCCCCCTCTCCCACCTTTAGGGTCCTCCCCAAACCAGGGCCCTTCTAGGTCCCAAACCGCTGGAACCCAGGCAGGACAAGCCCTGCACCCTAAATTCACATCTGCCCCGACGGAGAGGAAACTTCCGAAAGTCACCTTCAGGGACCCAAGGGATGGACTGTTTCCTGTCTTGTCAAGTACCTGAGCAACCAGCGCCCAGTTAGGTAGGCTGCAGAAAACTGACACCGGCTGTGTGGATAACTGAATTACCGAGAAGCTGTTCTGGGGATTTGGCCCCAGAATTGGCCACATGGAAAGAAGAGCCGGGGGGGGGGGGGGGGGGGGGAGTCGGGCAGAGGCACCGTGTCATAAGGATCCATTCTGTTGGGATCAAGCCACAGACTCACATTTCACATCTCCATGGAGTGGACTCTGAGTATTTGGGGGGAAAGAGTGAGTCCAGGTTATCCAAGAAACTCTAGGGGAAATACAATAAGATTCTAAATAAAAAACTAAAGTACTTGGCAAAACCACGATAATTATTACCTGTGGGGAGAGACCAAGAATACGATATGAATGAAAAGGAAAGAAAGGTGGCAACACTGGACAAGAAAGTAATCTTAGAAAGGGAGTGGGAAAGAATGGTCAGGCCACATCTTATAAAAGTGCACTGGCAATAAGTAAAAAATCTAAGCAAAAAACTTGTCAATCTGTAAATACTTACAATGTGTAAATATTCACATCTTCTTGGGTGAGAAGACCTCTATGACATCACAACAAATGAGAAGTGAATAAAAACAACAACATTTACTGCTTTTTCAGGGCAAGTTTTTAAATACTACATATTTCTCAATGGCAAACCACCATAAAGAAATCAAAAGAGGGAAAAAAATTTTTGCAGAATGTTGGTAAAATAAAGAGCTAATATTCTTAACATATAAAGAATTATTGCAAACCAATAAACATCCCACCAGAAAAGAGGACAAAATCCAACTTAGAAGAGTATCAGTGGCCAAAAAGCATGGGGAGCGGAAATGATCAGCTCACTAACACCTGAAGGAATGAATGCGAGTCCAGCTGACAAGGAAGAGCAACACGGGTCACCTCACAAAGGAATGCCGGTCGCGCAAGCTGGTCGTCATCGTTGAAAATAATTTGCCAAAACATATTCAAAAGCCCTTACCATGTACATAATTTTTAACACAGTGACTCTACCCCCGGACATTCAACAAAATGAGTAAGTCTGCACCCAAAGATGCAGCGCTGAAAATGGTCTTTGTAGCCATTTCTTTAACAGTGAGACACTGGGAAAGCCTAGATGATCAGGAACTGTGAGTTGTTTAAATGATTTCCAGTGCATTTATAAATGTAGAAGTAGATTACAAGACAGTCAATAAAGTTGTGTTATATAAGCACATATACCTAGATAATAGATCATGATAGATGATAGATAGATAGATAGATAGATAGATATTCCCAGTATGATGTCTGGGAGTAGGCAGTTCTGAGAAACTTATAAGAAGCACTAAGTAAACCTCACCAGAGATGGAGAAAACGTAGGGGAGCAGGCAGATGTTGACATAAAATGGTGGACTAGAAGCAAAACACTGAGTGTCTGGGATGGCTGGGTAAGAATGTTAATGATACTTTCTTCTTTTGTTTGCTTGGGTTTTTTTGTTTGTTTGTTTCTTTTAATCCTTGTTTGAGGATATTTTTTCCATTGATTTGAGAGAGAGTGGAAGGGAGAGGGAAAGACAGAGAGAAACACTGATGTAAGAGAAACATTGATTGGCTGCCTTCCACATGCCTGACCAGGGCCGGGAGCCTGCAACCAAGATACACGCCCTCGACCAGAATCAATCCCAGAACCCTTCAGTCTGCAGGCCAATGCTCTATCCACTGAGCCAAACTGACTTGGGCTGCTGAAGTTACTTTCTACAACCTATACATGTAAAGGTTTCTGAGCAAGGGAATGATGAAGAAGGCAGTGTGCTCAAATGTGTATCAAGATGAATCTGAGGCCTAAAGAGCGGCTGGACATGTGTGGGTTAGAGAGAGATAAGGCTGTCAAACAAAGTGTGGAGGCGACCTCTGCCTTTGGGGAAGGCCGAGGCGTTCCCCTGGACGGCCATAAGAAAGGGGTAGATAGCTTACTCTTTTAGGCATTTTCTGTAGAGTCTTCTCCAAAATTTGAACTCCAAAATTTTATAAAATGAGAGTGGGTATAAATCAAGTTAGTAGTCAATATTTTGATACCTTTCCTATCTTGTGATATTATGTAACCTGAGTTCTATAC